CATTTTAAACTGCATGCTAAAGCTTTTCTTATTTTTTTTTTTAAGCTCTTATGATGACATCAGATTCTCCTGGGATAATGCTCTTCATGGATGATACGTTGACTGGTCAGCTGGATTTGGTTTTGCAGTTGGCATTGTCAAGCAGATATGGAAAAACAGTTTCTACTCTAAGAATCTGGGAAATTCGGGGAATCGAAACAGAGCTTAATACAGTTTATGACAGGCATCAGGGAGTACTTAAATTAAGTCTTCTAGAGTGGCTTTTTCACAGGCATCATCACTGGAATAACTACCAAACTGCTATGCATGGTGGATTTCCTGCCCTTATGCAATTCTCAAGCGTCAGCAGAAAGCAGATGACATCAGCTACAGTTGCTTTATGACACTACTGCAGACAAATTTCTGACAGCTCCTTCAGGTCACTTTCTTGCCTCTGACTCTAAGTTAATGGTAATCTTAATAAAACCATGGAAGCATGTAGGATGAATTCTACAGAAAATCAAAACTAAAAAGACTGAATAGTCGGGAAAACATAATAAAACAAGCCAATCATAACCAAAGATTAACACCTTAACAGCTCCGAAGGAGATTAATAACCTTCACAAGCTCTAATGACATCATACTTGGATGGAGTAAACTCATTTAGTCACTTAAGGGCACCTGATTTGTGTATCATCATGAAACATCCCTCCTCTCCATTTTGACAGTTTGGCTTGGAAGTAAAATGAGTATGCCTCTCTCGTCTCTAAAGCAGATTAATAGCTGCTTTAAGAAGAATGTACCACCTAATTCAAAATTACAAAATAAATCAGGCCTGTGAAAAAAAATAAAAGCACCTCTCCCTATGTTTCATTCAAATCCAGTTAAACATTTTCTGTGAATTTTCACATTATTTGTTTTATAAGACTTATTTCCTATTTTTCTTCAACTGAGTAAAAAGGACATTCACACTGGCAAAAATCTTTATTTTTCTTTAGGAAAATGTATTACTTAAATCTCTGCATTTCAAAACTACACACTACAAAGCTAACAACAATAGAACGATCCACAACAATATTTGAATACTAATGAAAAAATAGCAATTCTTCAACTTTTCTATCTTTAATTGAATCAGCTATTTCAGTGTGTTGTGGGAATACATTTATCAGAATCAGTAGAGACCAAATGTTAATTATGAAGGCCAAGCACAAATGAATAATCTTATATATAGACCCTGACACATTAGAACTGCAAAGCACTCTGCAGATCTTATTTTATGAAAATGTACTAAGAGCGCAAATGTATAGGCCCTTAGGAAGCAATTATCCCTAAAAGATTTAGCTATAATTCAATCTGAAATATTATAAGAGATTTTTTTAAAATGGTTTCACAAAGAGGAGGATTATTTTACTTTAACTATGGAAATAGGGGCCCACATGCTTCTCTGAATGACCTCTGTGCAGTTGTGGGCATTGCCTGGAGGGAAGATTGGAAATTGGCCTTTTTGTTCAATTAACACAATCATAAGAATATTATAAAAATTAGGAGTACCAGTTTGGCATTGTGGGACTGAATGGCCCACATCTCTGTAAGGAATGTACTCTGCAATAAATATGTTAAATATGGACATTTAAAATCACATATTACCAATATGTATGACGGATTAGTTAAGAAGAGAAGCATTCAAGGCCAGGTTGGACGGGGCTCTGAGCAACCTGATCTAGTTAGTGGTGTCCCTGCTCCTGCAGGGGGGTTGGACTAGCTGACCTCTAAGGGTCCCTTCCAACCCAAAACATTCTATGATTCTATGATCTTACCAAACATGTACATATGTTATATTGCACAATAAGATGAAATGGCACAGTACAGGCCTATACAGCATGCCTTATGCACCATATGTTTTATTTGTCACATGATCCTCAGGTGTGACACAGGATCTAAAAGTGTAAAAACAAAAGTATGCAAGAGTGCTTATGTCATCTTTGTGATTTCTAGATCCTGGATCTGGCCAATTTACTGCCACCACACCGCTCCCACAGTTACAATACGTCTCTCTGCTGCTTTGCCTCACTCAGGAGTCTATGGTCTGCTACTGCCTCAAAGAAGGGTGGCAGTAGCCCCATGAGCTAATACAACTAAAAATAAAGCTGAAAGATGCACCTTATATTACCTATTAGATCATACCATCAGTGGAATAAAATAAGTTTCTTGTGGATTGGTCTTACACTTTTTTCCCTTCTAAGCAACTCACTATTGTGAGATGATTTTAAAAGGTAAGAAAGAAACAATACCTGCTGGGGTTTGGTGTTAAGTGTATTTCAGGACCCCGCCGAGGCAATGATCTCATCTTTTATCACAAACTCTTACGCCATCCTTAATCTAGCTGATCCTGATTACTGTGTTTTTATCCAGTAAAGATTGCAAGCATTCTTGCACCACATCTGACGTTTATACTTCCGTTACTCCCTGAAGAAAAATCTAACGCAGATCAAATTCCTCATCTGCCACCTATCACCAGAATACATCTTTGGCCAAGCTGAACCAGACAACGTTAATTAAGTTTAAGAGAGTAAGGAAAATTAAATTTTTTTTTAAAAAACACCTTTCTTAACAGAAACTGTCCTGGACAGACACAGAAGGGATACCTGGACTACTTCTGCAGGACAGGTGTTTACAGCTGAATTAATAGTGCATAGTGCAGCTCCCAGTTTGCACATGGAGGTGGCTGAAGTAAGTGCCAATCTGTGGATCACAGTGAAAATAAAACCAGTTGTGTTCATATTTAACCCTGCACCACAGAGACAAACAGCCTGTCCTACTTCTCTGAAAACAGTCAGATGACCAGAGGGTGATCTGCAGCAGAGAGGAGACAGGAGGGGATTCTTGGGTCTGTGCATTCACCCTGTGCGTAGCACTTACCACAGCTACTGAGCACATACCAGAGGCAGGAGGCAGCAGCTGAGAACAAGAGGGTTTCACGGGGGAGGTGTGTGCCAAGACCCCACAGCGCGTTACCTGTCAGGGGGCTCCAGCTGGATACTTCTCTGGCAGGGAGCTCTGCCGCTGACGGCAGCAGGAGCACCCCAGCCAGCTGCAGCCAGGCCCAGAGCACTGGTCAAACCCATTTCTAAAGGAGCTGCTGGCACAACTTCCACCCCTGCCAGCCAGTCCAGATTTTCTAGGCTGTAGCTACAGTAAAACGGGGTGAAAAGCTTTTAATTTACATGAGTGCTTACGTCAGGATGAGCGTTCATACAATGTATGTTAAAGCTAACTACTACTGCCAATATTTCATCGGGGCATTTTCAAGTTTTTGTGGTCAAGAATTCAACTTGACCCACAGGCCTTTTTAAAAGTACTTTGATGGACCTGTAACAGTAATATGAACAGAGACAAACTCTACAGAGGTACAATACTAAAAAAAGTTCAACTTTACCGAAAATTGAAAAGCATTCCTTTTTTCCTCCCCAGACTCTCATCTCTAAAAGTCTAAGACCAATTAACCTCTAACTTCAAAAAAATCAAAAAATGCCTGTGACAGCCAGAAATTAAATTCTTTAAAGATTAGGTGCTGGGAGAGCAATATCAGGCTTAGAATGAAATCCTAGTAACACTATGAGCTATTAAGTCACTTCTCGGTCTGAAAATATAATTATTCTGTAAGCATTATTTCAGGCAATATTAAATGTAAAAAGTTAAGTTTCAATAAAACATTTCTGTTTTCTAACAGAAAGAATCTGTGCATAATATTTTCAATGACACAGAAAAAGCAAGTCAGCGTGCAATTAACGAAAAATACTACTATGTTCAATAAGTAGCATGCTCAGCAAGCACTAACTTCTAGTGATGCCGGATTCAAAAGAGTACTATTATTGTGGTCAGAGACAGCCGTGAATGTTTATGATCTCCATTCCTACTCATCTGCAGATGGATTGCTTTCACTATTGCACACCTGATTCTGTAATATTCACCATAGATTCTTATGGCAATTATAAACCCATGGAACATACACAGCATTTGTGTGGCACACAGCCTCTCTCCGTTTACTCATGACACTTTTTTTTTACTGTTAAATGTCAAACTGCACAAGGATTTACCTTAATTCCTGTATTTTGCATTAGTCAAGTTGTTGCATGAATAATGGTGTTTTCTGAATATTAAAAAAAAAAAAGAAAACAAGAAAAAGCAGGCAGAGGAAAACCTGCCTGTAAATGAGATACATTTGGATCTTACTGCCTAAATCAAACACAGTTTTAAAACAACAACACAGTATCAACAGAGTAACTTCTGTATTTATATTGTCTCTCCATTACCCATGAAAGAGATTTTTAAGAATACAGTGGTTGAATAGGTGGACACGATGCTTGCACGTCTTAACAGGCATAGTCTCTTATTCTGGCTAGCAGCGAGGTTGCTGATTATGTAGCTATCAGTTCCACTGACGTTACAATTTCCCTTTCTCAAAGCAGCAATAACCTGTCACTTCACACTGTCCTTTCTCTGACCCTCTCCTGCCTCTTCACTCATTTTTATTCTTATTGACAAGACTTATTATTCCTCCTCCCAATTCCAACTAGCTACCCTTTTGCAAATAGTAGTATCAACTATGTGGTCACTAGTAGTATAGGTCAACAATGTTATTAATATAGCACACACTGCTGGGAGCAGATCAAACAGCCATGCTTTAAAATATTAGTTTTGCAAAGGTACCATGAGGCAAATAGTTGCAGTTTTCTTCATGTTATAAAATGTAATATTGCAAGGACAGACCCCAAGAATTTAGCGTTAATTACCAGCCCAATAATTTGGAAGATATGTTATTTTTTTCCTTGTTGTTTTCATACACAAAATAAAATAAAACCATAACAGAAGGGTGCTGTATCTGTGTTTAAAGAAGGGGTTGTTGGCAAACACCATAGCTCACTTCTGCCGAAATGTACACAACTGATATATGCAGCCCAGAAAGCTGGCACCAGGGGCTTACAACCTTAATTTGCCTGCAAGAAGAAATGGAGATTTACCTTCAGAGCACGTTCTTGATTGTTTTCAGCAGTCAGATGTCTCGTGTTGTTTGCTGAAGTCTGGTTCTGCTCTTTCAGATGATGAAGCTCCTGCTCCAGCCGTTTGCACTGCAACGAGGAAAGAATCCCATTAAGTAGAGGAGTGTGGGCATATTTTTTTCAACAAGCCAAACGAATTAACGTAAATAACCCCATCACCGTTTCTGCAGTAGTGAAAGCATCAGACAAAAGCAAGTTACAACCCCAGACCAGTACTAGAGCTCCATTTTTTAAATGTGCATCATTATTCAGTTTCTTCCTGGTCCAACTGCATGCCAAAAAAAGCTAAGTTTACTATCAGATAAAGACATTTTGCAGAATGCTTTAAAAAGTCTTAAAAATGTCAGGTTGAATTTCTGCTCCTAGTTATGCCAATATAAGGCTAGATTTTGGCTTTTATGTATTAAGTAAGTGGATATAAAGGAAGCAATACATGCTTTTAGAAAAGCAAGCAAATGAAAGACCCTCCTCCCAAATCCAGGACCCAGCCTTTTATTCAAAAATATACATGTAATTTTTATACTTGTATTTTTCAGGCTAAAGGATTCCTCTAATTCCCAAACACATAACACATCTTGAAAGAAAAGAAGTTCTGAAATTGTTTTATTATAATATTTAACAAAGAATGAAAAATTTAACATTTGCTACTATGTGCATACACGCATATACTTACTGCTGCCAGTCGAACGTCTATTTAAAGATCTGCAAATTGTGAGCTAAATTATATTTCACTGGTTTTTTTGGTAACCATAGGAGGTCCTTCACAGTTACCTTGGTTTGAAAGCATAAGTTGTGAGCAGACAGTTTATTGTATTATGAAAAAAAAAAAACCAAACAAAACTGTTTGACAAAAAAAAAAAAGCAAACCAAAACAGAAAAAGTACCAGGAAGATGTAGGAGAAAAACTGTTAGAACTAGGGGTAAACACAGTATTAGCAGGATCTTTTTAAAACAGTATATTAGAAGCAAGTAGTTTGGACATCACCACCAAAACCCAAAGCTGATAAGACTCTGTTGGAACAAGAGACAATTAATTGATAAAAAATATTTTAATAAATACTTTCTGAAAACACTAGTAAGAAGGGAATGAGAATCGTGATATAACGGCCACGTAAGCATTACTGTCTCAAATGAAAGATCTGGAAGCATCAGTCTCTTGTGTTATCTTGGTTACTGTGGACGACACAGAACTGAGCTTCCCATCAAGTGTATAAAACCTATTCCTGAGCAATTCAGTGCATGGGACAGTCAAGCATGGCTCATGTCAGCTCTAAAAAAAGAAAACACTGTGAAATAGAGAGTTGTAGGACTGCAAAAATTGTAACTGAGGTCTAAGTAAAATAAGCAGTGCTAAAGTATCTTGAGACAGAAATTTTAAAGACATACCAATACATATCCTTCTTAAAGACAAAATAAGTCCTTAACAATGTACTGCACATCAGGTATCCAACACAGTATATAAACCAGAATGATTCAATCCTATATTTGAATAAGTTTTAAAAAACTGTAGGTGTCCAACAGTACTATTAAAAAAAATAAATCAATTCACATATTATTTGTTTTATTTCATTACTTCTGTAAGAAATCTGGGCTCATTTCTAATAGGATTACTTATTTTAAAGGCAGGAAATCTCTCTGGCCTAGCGCATTCTCTCAGCGTCTGTTGTAAAGTACCTTAATGCACAGTTTCATTTTTATTGCAAGAAAAAGCGAAATACAGAAAAAATGTTAAGATACATTTGATTGCAAATATTTTCACAGACTTGAGACTTTTGATGTCTATGTTTATCTCACACACACACAAAATCACAAATCACAGAATCACAGCTGTAATTCTTTTTCCATGTCCAGCATGAAAATTATGTGTCTGCAGACATGAAGGTGCTAATAAAACTATTGAAGGACTAAACCCAGATTATGCAGGTTTTTTTTTCTCTGGCAGCTTTTTTTCTCTAGCATACATGATCTAAACACCATTTAAAAAAATAAAATAAATCTACTACTTCAGGCGTTATTATGACACTTTACACATTACACCACGTAAGATCAGCAAGCCTCTCACTTTTCTGCTTTGCCAGAACTCTTCAAAACAGTGCTTTGGAATTCCCAATTTGACAACAGCACATGCTTCTTCCAGTAAATATTATTAAAAAGGCTAAAATCTCAATCTACCTTTAAAATATGAATTTATACTCATGCTATTCTCTTGATTCCAAAAGAGAAATGAAAATACGCTAAGAGCAAAATCCAGCTACAAGACCATACGGAAAAAGATCTTGAGGTGCAGGGCAGGTTGCACAACTAAGGGCATGGGTACAATGTTATTCTGTTCTCCACTTGGCTTCTGCTCTCCTGTGAAGGCAGGACAGCGGAATCAACAGCAGCAGTGGGACTGTAGCACCATACAGCATACAGAGCACGTACGATAAAGATGCAACACAAGTAACATGAAGCGGATGGACCTCCCTATCAAGTCAACCTTGACATGATTACATTTACATCAATCTTGGTAGCATTTTGTAATTTGTCTTTAATTTGATTTCCACTAAAAATGTTGATACCTGAAAAAAGCTAGGCATATTCAATCAGCATGCTGCTTGAATCCATTTTGAGGGTATCATTGAAAGAAATGGTGATCTAATTTGGCCTTCGCACATGAGTGTCCTGATATGTTGGAAACAATGTATTAACAGAAGATGTTCTGAATTATCAACCAAAATGTATTTATTCCTAGCTGTCTAGGAAGCAAAATCTTTAATTATCCTCTTTGTGAAAGCATTATAATAATACTCTAAAATGCAACATTCTGTATGTCTTACTAAAATTTTATACTCTACAACACCTTGATACCTGAACTACTTCTAAAACATCAATTTAGCTTTCTAAAAGCTAGCACAAGAACAAGACTATATGAAATTTCTGTGTAATCTTGCTGTAAAAGTTTTAAAAATAGAGTTTAAAAACAATGCAATCGTTCTATTCATTTGAGCCAACATTTTTTGAATTCTGTGTCATTGGTGGTTAGCAAGGTCCAGTAAAAATAGATGTTCTTTAAAAGAACATGTGTTTTTATTGGTTCACTCCAAGGCTCTAAAATGCCAACAGCTGCAAGTAAGAAACTGGATTTCCTTCTAAAAACATACATAAAAATACTTTTTGGAGCACAGTGAAGAGAAGACATCGTCCAATTCAGTACTGGCAAAAAGGAAATGTTGGATGTATCCTTTTAAGAAAGTTGAAAGCTAAAGGAAGTGTTTCATTTTAAATATTATAAATAAGAATGTCTAAATCCTGTTATCCCAAACTTGTGAAAATTCACACTTGGGAAACCTTCAAACAGAATCCTCTTAAAGTCAGAGACAAAATATTTTGTACGACACAGGTTGCCTAAACATCTGATCTGAGGTGTAACTGGAAGTTCCCATGGATTTAACATGTTATGAAAAGTGGGCTGCTAATTGAGAAAACTGCTTCTTTACCTCAGACAATTTGAGTTCATCAAGGAATATGAATATGCCTTGATCAGAACACTAAAGACTTTGCTAAGTAAAGGATATTAAAGCCTCACTGTTGTGATTTAACCCCAGTTGGCCACTAAGCACCACCCAGCCACTCACTCACTCCCCTGCAGTGGGATAGAGGAGGTAATTGGAAGGGTAAAAGTGCGAAACCTCGTGGGTTGAGATAAAGACAGTTTAAAAGGTAAAGCAAAAGCTGCACACAAGCAAAGCAAAGCAAGGAATTAATTCACTGCTTCCCATGGGCAGGCAGGTGTTCAGCCACCTCCAGGAAAGCAGGGCTCCATCACACGTAACAGTTACTTGGGAAGACAAACACCATCACTCCGAATGTCCCCCCACTTCCTTCTTCCCGCAGCTTTATATGCTGAGCATGACGTCATATGGTGTGGAATATCCCTTTGGTCAGCTGGGGTCAGCTGTCCCACCTGTGTCCCCTCCCAACTTTTTGTGCACCCCCAGCCTCCTCATTCGTGGGGTGGGGTGAGAAGCAGAAGAGGCCTTGACCCCGTGCCAGCACTGCTCAGCAGTAACTAAAACACCCCTGGTGTTATCAACACTGTTTCCAGCACAAATCCAACACAGCCCCATAGTAGCTACTATGAAGAAAATTAACTGTATCCCAGCCAACACCAGCACACTCAGAAATGGTAATATGTCACTTTATAAAGATTTCACACAAACAATCCACCAAGAATTAGCTTCATTCTATGATCTACTGTGTGCATTCAGAGTTCTGTAGCCTGAGAGGCAATACTGAAAATACAACACCCCACCCCACCCCAAACCCAACCAGAAAAAGGTTTCCTCTCTTCTTTCAAACCCTCATGTTTGTTCTCCTCTCTCAATATATTTCCCTCAGAAAGTCTCCTACCTTAGCTAGCCTCATTCAGGTGATAACATACTTGTCAGACAGTGAACCTCTAAGCCTACTCCAAGTGTTCCTTAAGCAACCATCAGTGCCCAACTGTACAGTTTTCACTACATCATCTATTCCCAGCAACAGGCACTCAATCTTCTCTATAACCGTATTTCCACAGTGCAACCCGGCTGTGCTGTTCTAAATGCACTCAGTCTTTCCAAACAAATATGCCTGTATCCAGCACAGGATATATCACAAGCAGCTAAGACACAAAATGAAAAGCAAAGCAGGTAACATACCAAAAGGGTAAGAAAAGATTCAGACAGGAAAGAAAGGATAGACAGCAAGTACACCTGTCCTTCCCTCCCATCTCCTAATTTAAACCACTGGGCTACTGGTGAGCCTTTTTTAACGAGCATCAGCTAACATGGTTCATGAGAATGAGGATGTTTGAGAGAGGCACTAGTTCAACCCACAGCAGATGCTGACCCCTTTCAGTGACTATCCAGGTGGGAGGGTTGAGAACTCCATGGGGAAAATCCATACAAACTGCAAAAAGGAGCACCTGCTCCTTTCTCACTGATGGAGAGGTCAAGAAGTGGACCAAGAGAACATTGCTGAGTAAAGTCCTTGAGGCTCACCCAGAAAGAGACTGTTAAAAAATGGTCCTAGTTCCAGGTAAACAAACA